AAACAGAAAGCGCGTTGAGAGTTTTACTAGAACCTTTGGCAAATCTTAGTGGGATAAAGCGGTTAGCATCCTCAAGGTGTTGATCTGATGCTTGTATGTTTGTTTGTCTCTTACCCTTGAAGAGGTAACATAGTTGAGGTCAAAAGAGCGTCTTGGGGAGTGATGTTAGGCGAAGTTAGTGCCGAAACACTATAAATCATGTTGTTTGAGCTTTTAAATTTCTGAAGTTTGCTGATACGCTTTTATTCGCTCTGTTTATATTTTAAGAAATGCCTAAAGTTGAACAATGAATTTGATGTTTTAAACCTGTTAATCTTTCTTTCCTGAACATTAAAACTCTGGAATTTTGATAAGATGACACTATACCTATGTTCTAAACAGTTGTTTCTATTCACAATATCAATATTTTCACTGTTGGATTTCTAATTTTTTCTAACAACCCTTTATGGAAGTTCTTTAACAATAGGCTTTCATCATAAAGTAGTTTTCTGATACTTGTTAAGGCTTTGTGAAGCAGATCTAATTCATAACTATTCTCACACGTCTTATATTTGATTTATATAAAATTTATGAGGAAATTCTAATTTCAATGATTCCTTCATAAAGAAGTTCATAATATTGAAAGAAGTCGTGTGAAGAGTTCTACAATAGCTGCACTTTGCAAGACTTTCTATCCTTTTTGAAATCGACTATGTTGAGATTAATTCTAATTCAATAATCGAGTTCTGTATTTTTCCGCTGCACTTAGAATTCTATATTTTGTTTTGAAATTCTAAAATTTATATTTATTTTTAGAAAACCCAATTCACCCCCTCTCTTTGGTTGTGCCATACATATACGGGATCCACAGAACTCCAATGAGCGAATCTGCGCTACAATAGGTTTGTTCTTGTGTAATTTATATGTGGTTTGCTTTCGTACTTGTTTAGATCATGGGTAGTTTTCGCTGCTTAATTCACGGCTCCCATAATTGTTGTCAATTTTGTATACAAAACCGGATGTCATTTCCTAAGACAACTTGGAGAGCTTCACAAAGGTTGCAGCTAAAATACATACGGATGTGCGAGGTCCTCACAGAACACCATCATTATAAGGTAGCCTTTACTACATTCTTTTCATTGATGATTTTACAAGAATGTTTTGATTTTTTTTTTCTTGAAATTTAAATCAGAAGTGCCTGAAGTATTTTGAAAGTTTAAGAAAATGGTGAAAAATCAAAGTGGCTGCAAGATTTAAATTCTGAGGTCTAATAATGAGAAGGAGTACACCTCGACAAAATTCAATTTATTTTGTGAAAAAGCTGGTATTGAACATTAGCTTACGACTCCCTACACTACAGAATAAAATGGAGTCAACGAAAGGAGAAGTAGATCAATAATAGAGATGGCCATGTGTATGTAGCATGAGAAAGAGTTACCTAAAACTTTTTAGGTTGAAGCAGCGAATACAATAGTTTGCAAAATCGACTTCCAATAAAGGCTTTGGAAGGTAAAACTCAATTTGAGGCTTACTATAGGTATAAGCCTTTATTAAACTTCCTTAACATATTTGGTTGTGTGTGTTTTGCTCATGTTCCACAGGTCAAACATGACAAACTTGACAAGAAGGCAATAATGGGCATCTTTGTGGGTTACAGTTTAGTTTACAAAGCCTAAAAGGTGTATCATCCTCAAACAGGAAAAATAACCGTCATTAGAAATGTAAATTTCAATTTGGAAGAATTGTGGGGCTACGAGAATTCATAAAATAGGTGAATTTTTATAAGAACTAAAAAACTAATGCACCTAGAGACCAAACAAAAGATCAAATGGAAGAATGAATCGGAAGATTATCAACTATAAGCTACTTTCATACATCTATTAAAGATGTAATGTGGCAATTTGTGAACCACCTCACTATAAGGAAGCTCTAAAAAACCCAAAATGGAGAAAAGCAATGGAGGAGGAGACGCTAATTATTAAAAAAAAAAAAGACTTGTGAGTTGCTTGATAAGCCTAAAGATAGAAAAGTCATAAAAAAAAAAAAAAAAAAAAAACTTAATGTGGATTAGCTCCATCAATAAATACAAGGCCAATTCGTCACAAAAGGGTATGCCCAAATTTTTTCTGTTGATTATTCTGACACCTTTGCTCCTGTTGCCAGGTTAGATACAATCAGGTTGCTACTAGCCATAGTAGCACAAAAGGGTTGAAAAGTGTTCCAGTTAGATGTCCAATCAGCCCTTTTACATGGCATATTACAAGAAGAAATATATTTAGATCAGCCAGAGGGATCTATAAAGCAAGATGAAGAACATAAAGTCTACCTACTTCAAAAGGCTCTTAATGGCTTAAAACAAGCACCAAGAACTTGCTACAGCAGGATCGATGATCATTTGACAACCTTGCCTTTATAAAAAGCTCTGAGTTCAATCGTATGTGAAGCTAAAGGATAATGACATTCTTATAGTGCCGTTCTATGTTGATGATCTTTTGGTAACTAGAAATAATACAAAGCTGGTTGAGGAGTTCGAACAAGAAATCATACAAGTTTTTTAGACCTAGGCCTTATGACCTATTTTCCTGAAATAGAAATCAAATAAAATAAAATGAGGTGTTCATCTGCTAGAAGAAGTATGTGAAGGAAATCCTGAAGAAATTTCAAATGGAGGAGTGCAAAGCTATAAGCAGGCGAATGAATCAAAAAGAGAAGCTAAATAAGGAAGATGATGCACATAAAGTTGATGAAGGATATTTAGTAAGCTTGGTTGGATGCCTAATGTATCTCACTGCTACAAGACCGGATATTTTATTTGCTATAAGTCTCTTATCTTGTTTTATGCATTTTGGTGTCAAATTTAAAGAGGGTTCTTCGTGATCTTCAGAGTCGATGATTTTTTTTTTTTTTTTTTTTTTTGTAAAGTTGCAAGCTTTGAGTCAAGAAACTTGGTGACTTATTTTGGCTTATAGAAAGTTGATAATGAAATACTAGACTTCTATCTCAAAGGAACTAGTGATAAAAACCAAGGTCCAAAATTTCCACTTCCCAAATGTGCTGGTGCAAATTCAAGAAGTTCTCAAACATCCATTGTAGGTTTGTGGTCATTATTGCTATAGGGAAGCAAATCATATAGCAGATATGTTAGCTAATTTGGTTATGTTTGGCAATGTGGGTAGGCATGTCCTTCAAGCTCCTCCAAATGAGGTTCAGAATATCTTACGATGAGATAATGTAAGGTGTGGCTTGGACACGAGTTGTGAGTATAGTTGTTTCTCTTACATAAATATAATATAATTTGTTTAGAGTTATTAAATTTTGTTAATAACAATTAAGAATTACTTCAATTATATTTCTTTTATTCATATTATTTTAATTATATTATTCATACATATTTTCTTTATTATTAAGAAAAATCTAATTTGATTTTCTAATTCTCTCCATATTTACACTCTGTTTTGGTATAAATGAATTCAAAATATGAAATTACTAAAATTCATTTGTTAATGAATTTCATATTTGGTATGATTAATTGAAAACATATAATTCAATTGAATTCCACACAATCATGTATGCAATAAATTCATAATTAAAAATTCATTTGTTTTTATTTCCTGAAATATCATTTAGTAATTTCATAAAAATAAATAATAAACACCAATTATATTTACGTTATGCTACATAATTTTTTATATTTTTATTAAAATAAATTAAAACAAAAACAATATCTTACATAAAACTATTGTTTTGGCTTTAGTGATAAAATTTATATTTAACTGATAAATTTATATTTAACTTGAATCTCTCTCCCTAATAGTAAAAAATTGCTAAAAATATTAAAATAAAAGATAAAAATATTAAAATAAAAAACATAATAATAAAAATAAACTCTTTAAATGATTTTGGTCAAATTTAATAAAATAAATAAGTTAAATAAGTCAAAAATTGAAAATTTTATTTTGTAGAAAAAAAAATAGTAGTTTTTATCATAAAAAGTTGAATCGCTTAATTCTATGAAATACATTAGGAAATTCCATCTATTTCGTGAAATTTGGTGTAGTTATGTTCAATTTCATAAAATTGAATTCCTATAATGAAAATCTAAATAAATTTATTCCACAAGTTTATAGAATTCATTTGTTCCAAACAAACGGTTAGTCAAAAAAAGCATTATGATGAATCTTAAAAAAAAAAAAAAAAAAAATCAAGTTAAAAAAAAAAAAAAAAAACATCGTAAAGATATATTCATGAATGTTAAATTGGTTAACATGGATACAAGTCATGTTATACTAATGAATAACAAAACCTCAATTTTCTGTTTCGATTTATGTGCCTGGAAGATCCTTGATAATTAAATAAACCAAGATTGAAAAAAAAAAAAATCATAATGATTACATCTCAACAAGAAGCAACAATACATATTGATAAAAGCCAGCTCGCATAAATTAACCTAAAAATATCTCTAAATATTGATATCAAAATGTACAATATTATTTTTTGAAAGAACTACTTTAATCTTTATAAATCAAAAAATTGATACCACATTTTTTCATAGTAACTATAGTACTGAAGTAAAATGTTAATTCCTCGGTATAATATTACCCAATAATTTTTAAGGGCATTTTAGAAATGACGGAATACATCTTGTAATACCTGAACTTTAACAAAAAAAATATTATGACACCTAAATTATAAAATCGACCTTATTGCACCTGAACTTTATTTTTTATAATAATTTCACACCTCCATATATTAAAATCAGTAACCTTTAAGGGTTTTTAACTTTTATATGCAAAATATTAATTTAATACGTGATTAATATAACTTTTGAAACAATAATTTTATTTTTTCAATAAGTGTTTAATCACTCTAATTTTATAAATTGAAGTGTTCAATAAGTCAAATAAAATATTTAATAGGTAAAATTTTATAAATTGAAGTATTTAATGGATCAAAATAAAAATTAAGGGTACTACAAGGTTTTTTTTTATGAAAAGTACAGAAGTGAATTTATGTATTTAGCCTTTTAGAAATATTATAACATTTTATACACATTAGGAACTTAGATGGCAACCAACCTTTAACATCATATGTATCCAAATTCTGCCCCCACCACCATCAACATGAACTAATTTATAAAAGTCTATGCCCCTTCCCAATTTTCTAATTGGAAGGTCCTCCACCCTTCATCAAGAGGCAGCCCAAAACCCCAGAAATCAAGGGAGCTGCCACTAGTTTTAGGGTGTATGTTTCCAAATTAGCAATAAAAATTGGAGGGTGAAGAAACAAGTGGAGCCAATGCTACTGACTAAAATTGGAACATATCAAAATACAAAAGTCAAGCCATTTACAGAATTTTATCAAGCCATTTGTACATAAAGAGGACATTATCTAACTATTTCTGCATACCCAATGTCACCCCCGAGAAAGAATTGAACGAATAGAACCAGCAACACCACGCCGTCTTCCCTGTAATTTTAATAAGCACCATTTGGTCAAAATCAAGTTGCATTGCTCAACTTTTGCTGCTAAACCTTTGTTAAAATCAAATAAGTAGGTTAATTACCTTCTCGTTGTTAAATAAATCCTCTGCAACAGCTTCCATTTGCTTCCGCTTCCTCTCTTCTTTCACAGAGTCAACCATCTCCTGATTCCCATAGTCAGAGTCTCTGTGAAGAAACACAGACTCATAAACATGATGTTCCAGAGATTATAAGGCAATAATCTGTAACCAAGAATAGGGACCTCACTTGTACGGGTGTTTTGAGAATGGAATCAGGCTGTTGAAGCTATTCCCTGATTGAGTATTTTTCTGTAAGAGAATAAAGCAGTATGTTAATTTGACATGATACAAGAAAAGATGTAGTTAATTTATAAGATTATGAACAAATAGCTACTCGAGCGAAAATGATTGATTCTTTCAGATCAAGGTTAAAAAGAAATTCTATTGCCCTGGGCAAACTGGTTCAGCAACATAAATTAGAGCAAACTTCTCCAATGTAACCCAAAATGTAAGTCAAATATTCTTGTACTAAACAGCTAACATGGATTGCTAAATCAATCCCAAAAGCAATGTTTCAAAATCTACAAGATTGCAATCCTAGAATGTTATGAATGCCATTTCACAACACTCTAGGAAAGCCATTGGCCTCTCGACAAGATTACAGAGGATAATCTCATAGTCCAAAAGCTTAAACTATAGTTCTAGATTGTTCAATATTGACATAACCCTAAGCGAAAGTTACAGATTAACCTGTTTTCTCAAGTTCGAGGCTCATTATGAAAAACTGGAATTACAAAAACTGAACAAAAAAATTATATTCAAGGATTGCATGTGTCCAGCCATAAATCCTGAAGATGGTTTGAGTCTCAAAACATTGATCTCGTTGGAAAGATTCAGATTAGCACGAGTAGATAAGAGAAAGTATAGCTCATGACATGATGAACTGGATGCCATAGAAGGTTGTATAGGCTCTTAGAAGTTCATTTCATGCCTTGCTCTTTTTTAATTCCCCTGTATTAAATATAAGGTTAAGGATGGGTTTTCTAGTCATTGTTTTGGAAGATGTCTAAAAGTAGATACACCAGACCCTAACCTCGATCCTCTATAGCATATATCTTCTTGCACTCATTTCAGTTTTCCATACTTCTGACCTACATTCTGTTTCTTAGAAGTTTCACTTTTTCTCAAAAACCATAATAAAGAGAGGATTTCTTCTTACAACTTTACCTCCTAGTAGAATTAGACTTCGAACATTTCCATGACATCTGGATGATCTATTTCTGCTCATCTTGATTGCATCCCCAGTCCCAACTGTCATTTTATTTTCCTCAAGCTAAGTGAATCTCCAAGGCTAGACTCCATCCAAACTAAAGGTTTTGGTTTGGGATGCAATCCTCAAAAGCATTAATGCTGATGAATTGTTGCGGATACAACATAGACATCTCCATCTATGTCTTATGCGTTATAGAGTAGATGAAGTTCAATACTCAACATTTTCTTCATTCCACTGCTTCTTGGGATATGGGACTCAAACCTTTTAATACTTTTAAGTTCTTGGTTCTTCCTAGGAACATTAGAGGGACTTCCATTTCTGGAAACAACATTTAGAGCTTTTAGGAAAAAAAAAAAAAAAAGCAGCTCAAATATTCAAGGCATGCAACAAGTATTTATTGCAATCTAGACTACCAGGTTGGAGATGCTCTTCAAGAACCATTGCTGCCTCGGTAGTTCTTGTAGAGTAATAACTTTCTTAGCTTAATTATGGGCATTCACTTTGGAGTGTTTAAGAGAGTTTCTTAAGCTTATATTCTCCAAGATGGAGATAATTTCATGTTGTTGATATCTTCTGGTTTACACTTTTTCTGCTTCTTGTCCAGATGACATCTTATCTCCTCGAATTTGTGTTTCTGATACTTGATAAAATCTTGTTATTTATAGGAAAATGAGGGATTTCCAAAATCGTGGTTATTTCTAGGAAAATGAGAGGCTTCCATGCCATGGCATAGAAATGGATGAAAAAACACCAAAGTCATTACAAAGAAAAGATGACATAAAAAATGTCATTACCTTTTTGAAGCGCTTGAAATTTAAAACTCCGTCATTTGTGGTAGACCTGGTTGTAGCTGGTACATGCCAATCTCTAACAATTAAATCTTGGCTGTAAATAATATCAGAATTCGTGCTTTCAGGCTCATCCACCTTCTCCCTTTTTCCCAACATCTCACCATGATTGCCCGTAGTGCTAGCAACATGGGTATCCCCCAATTTAATAGGAGGGTGCTGAAATGTGGAGATTTCCACTTTGTTCCCACATTTAGGGGCTTCTTCTTTGCAGATATTGGCAGTGGCATGAACTGATGTTGTTTCCACTTCTTCATCAGAATCTGCTACTACTGTCTCATCCGTGGAACATGATGATGAAACAAGCACTGAAGAAGAGCATATAATAAGCTACATTAATTTGAGATATCAAATAAATGGAAACTGAGATAATAACTTTTGTAGAGCATGTATAATTTCATTTCCAAACTAATGCACAAGCCAATCCCAACATCATATTCAGCAACATTCAAGGTGTACCTTTTAATGCAATAATTTAAGAAATTTTTGTGTATCATGAAACTTTCCTAAAGTAATAAAACAACAAAGAAAATTGGGCTATTAATGTAAAAATGAAACATGATCTTTTCCAACATGAGATTTACTCGATAAAACTAAGTTAAATTACTGGTGGCACAAGGTGCCTCCATTCTGAAGATTTTGTTTGGGGAGGGGTAGGGGGGGTGTTGACCTAGAACTTATATGCCATAATATTGTTAACAGCTCCATCTATTGTTGAGAAGCAAATAATCCTCCAGAAAAATAAAAGAGGGGGGGCGGGGCGGGGGGGGAGGAGGAATACTGACCAGTTGGCAATATCAACATAGAAGAATCTAAATAGCCAGATACAACAGCACATAAGACATCCACTTCATTCACTCTAGACAACGAACTCAGTTTGCTGAAATGACCAAACTTGTCTGTTGATCCTTGAGGGATAACACACACCATTCGAAGATTTTCTCCATAATCCAAGCCCTATAAGATTTTCATCAAACACAAATTAGAACATAAGTCAAACAGAATTTGGATATTCCGATGTAAGACATACAACTGCTAAATGATGAAAGGCTTATCACAGAAACCTCGTTAAAAATATCAAGAGGTAAAATGCACTATCCAAACTCGAACCCTTTCATAAATGAGATGTCTGACCCGTCCCAAACCCTTTTAAAATTTAACTTCTATTACCTGAACTCGCCCCAAATTCAATCACAATTACCCATTTAAGTACCCATTTACACTAAAACTTTTTTTTTTTTTTTTTTTTTTTTTTTTTTTTTGAAATAAAAAAAATTTTAGTTAAAATCAATAAAATTTTTTATTTTTATGACTTATAAAAAAATTTAAAAATATCTATAACTTTTTTTTTTTTTTTTTTTTTTTTTGAAAATAAAAAATTAGTAAAATCATAAAATTTTTTATTTTGACTTTATAAAAAAATAAAATATCTATACTAAGGGTTATTATAATACTAAATATAATTAGAAAAGTATGATTATAATAATATTAGACTACTAATTAAAGAGGTAATGGATAGAAGGTACCTAAGCCCTTAAAAACCTAATACACATAGTAAAAATACTATCTGGAACCCTCCACAAATCCTTTTATCAACTACCTAAACTCATCCCATTAGAGTTGGGTGAAGAACCCGAATAACCCCAACTCATTGCCAAAGCTACACCTATGCCACTTGGGCTTGGCAAAAAGATAATCGCTCTATTTTAGGATGAGTTTAGAGGTGCTTCTGAAAACTAAACTCATTTTTTTATTTTAGTTTTAAATTTTTTCTTAATCTTTAGGAAAACCATGGTTAGAGAAAAGTTAAAAAATATACTCCCTCTGTTATGGAACTTTTGCTATATTATTACAAAATTTAGAGTATTAATTAACTTTCTTATTCTATGTGCTATAGCAAAAAGGAAAAATATTCAGGAACAGAGGGAGTAGCTTTTTTAAACCGTAGTTTGCTAAGCCTTAAATATTGCAGACATAGTTTGCCAAATACAATTCAAAAGCAATGCCAAACAGGCAGACCAAGCCATTGGTCTAGTTCAAACTGGAAACTGGCCAAAGAAAATGACCAAAACCAACCCGGCAGTTCCTGTTTTGAAACGGGCAAGAACTGTCTGTTCACGAGCCAGATTTTAACTGCTGCCCTTCTTGATAAGGAACTAGAACCAGCTCAGAGAGAAACCAGCCGGTTCCCAAAAGAAAAAAAGGAAAAGAAGGCTGAAAACACCAGAACAAGACAAAAACCAATGGGCCTGGAACCAACAGGACCAATTCCAGTCCCTGTTCTGAGCCTTTGAGGCTAAAAACAGCCAGTTTAGTGAACCGGTGAGCTCTACAAACAAGCACAAAACCAAGTGTGTAAACGTCTGATTTTCCAAAATCCACAACTTAGGATATATTGACATGAATCTAACGAGTACCAAATATCAGAGCCCATTGGTCCTCTAAAATCACTGACCTTTCATAGGTGCTTCAGATTTCAAGGAAAAGTGTCCAAGAACTATCAACCCAATAAGCTGTTTTCCGAAAAAAAAAATAAAAAAGTCTCATACAACTGCAAGTCTCAAGGATCAAAACTCAAAGTTCATGTCGTTGATGCAACGAATCTCCCTCTCTCACCACCTCTTGCTCCGCATCCTCGGCCCAACAGAACAGCAAACGAACAAGAGCCACGAGAAAGCTTCATCTTCAAAAGAATCTTGCTATGTCCAAATATTTTTTAAGAAATCTAAACTAGATTTCTGCTAACATCCCTTAAGAGTGTCAACAAAGGTATTCTGATGAAAAGCAACAGTGTTCTCATTGAACATAGATTATAACAAGCCATAGTGGGTATAATATACAAGACATTAACATACATGCCAAATTTCTGGTTAATTGAAATATTCTGTCTATGCTTTGACAATGGTACTTTTAATTAATATTAAGATAAATTAAATACAAAATCCACTTGTGTAGTTTGAATAACTACAAAAACTATCCCTAAAATACTTTGTTCATGATGCAACTAATCATCATGCTCAATAAAAACAAGTTCACACTACTTTGGTTGTTATTAATTTAGTGCAAAAATGGCATAAACATAAATATCTCAACTTGTCAACAAAAAACTAGAATCAAATTTATAAAGAAAGAGCAAGATAAGCATACTTGGCTGCTTGAACAAAATTCTTCAATGAAAATAACTTTTGCACCACCCAATTCCAAGAGAGACCGCAACCTATCCCCAAACTTGTACTGTAAGAGCAAGAAATTAAAATAAATAACCATCCAAGTCAAAGGAAAATTGCATAGACTCCATGTCAATCATTCTCACAACATATAAATGACAATTAACCTCCCTAACAGGATCAAAATAAATAATCATATGTTTACTACCAAGTGATCCGACAAAGTTTACTGTAGTGCAAGAGACTAGAGCTGGGATTGTCTGCATTTGCTAATGGAACACATATGCTAAATAAATTCACATCCATGTATGGCACAAATCTTAATGTGTTAGTAGACCTTTGCAGCAGTACCAACGATTCAGTAGTGGCAAAAAAAAGAAGGTTTAAGCATCTATTGATCCAGATCAAGATGGCATTTTCTTAGTGGATGCTATAGTGCTTTAGTGGATTCCTTATTTGTTGCCATCATGTTTAGTGAATTTCAGTTTTTATTTTTCAGTTATTTGTATTCCTTAGTTGTAGGAGGGTTGTCCTCCATGATTTCCATATTTCCTTGTTTGTAGGAGATTGCTACTTTCCGTTTTTGTATTTAAAGGACAGCAAGTTAATAAAATGGTATCAGAAACTTCCAAAAAGTCTTTTAGTACTTTAACTCAAGAGATCCAGGTTCTCTCTAATGAATCTGATTTAATTACAGTCATAGGTCACAGAAAGAAAACCCTCTCTCAACCGTCCCAACCTCCTCTCACTCACCCTGACCCTTTAACACGCAGACCCATAACTAGATCCTTATCAAGGGACCATAAGACTTTGTCATACTCATTCAATCATATCCAACAGCCACATCACCACACTGCTCCTATCAACCCAAAAATTTTTTTTTGAGAAACAAAAGAGAGAAACACAACAGCTATCCATTCTCCCTTCAGCCCAAACTCAACTTCATCTACATGAACACAAAGAAAGACAACTAAGCATTCAGTCCCTGCACCTTGCCCTCTGGCTCAATAAGCAGTCTCTTCAGACTTCTTAACTTCTGTTGAGGGAGAGAGAACCCCCTACCCACCCCCAATCTCTGTTAAAGACATTGAAAGGAAAGGGCACCTTTTGCAATCAAGGTATGTTTGAGCTGTGATCCATGAACATAATTCATTAACATTTTAATGTGATTATGTTTGAAACTAACGATACAAGATCCATAGGTAATTTATATTGAATTCTCTATTTTCATTGATTTTAATTTTCCAATAGACCACACTCCATGGCAGTGAGCACAGCCTTATCTCTTGCATCACAACCAATCAGGCCCACTTACCATTATTTATTATCCTCTAGAAAGCGAATTGATGTTTTCTTTGATGTAATATGAATGATGATGCAGCATCTGGATTAGAGATAGATAGCTAATATTTTTCCAGCAGTAGAGGGGAGAACTAATAATGATCTAGATGGCCACTGGAATGATGGTAAAGCCACGAGTCAGGATATGCAAAAACAACAGGAATAGTCATCCAAGAGTCAGCTTCCTAATTTGAGTACTCCCCTAGCAATTCAAATATAGAGCCATCCAAGGACATTATGGTTCCATCAACAAAATTAATAGAAGGCCCACAGAGAGTGCCTAAGTATATAATATAGCAACTTCTCAAGTTGGAGGTACCAAATGAAATTGAAGAAAAAATATATGGGCTCAAATGAACTTATGACTTGTGTTTTTGTATATGTGTCTGTTTTTGGATGTCTTCATGCAACTTCTAACAGATCCCCTTTAGAGTCACCAGCAATAGCAAAAGTTATTCAATTACTAACATAAAAATGAATTTATAAATTATTTTGGAACCAATACATCACCATATTTACTGATTCCAGTAGGAAAGTGTATCCTTTTAAACAGTTTGCACGAGTTATTGAGTCTGCAACTTTGACAGGTGCTCCTTTCACTGTTAATGTTGGAACATGGCTGAGCAAAAAATAGAAATAAGGCATTTTTAATCAGCTGCATCAAACTCATAAAAGAAACAGCACAGAGGTATTAACCAAACACCGTAACCAAGACCAGACAATACTTACGAACTCCAGCTTGGAATCTCTGACCGAATGCCTTGTTCTGCAACCAACTAAAAATATTGCAGTAATTGATAATAGTACTGGGAATAGATAGTGCAATTTTCAGGGTCTACTTTTAAGATAAATGCACCCAGTGCTAAGTCATTTATGTATGCAAGAGAAATATTAAAATATCGTAAAAGGAGTAAAAACTATCTATAGTAATGTATTTTGAACTCAAAATGAAAACTACACTTTCGATATAATGTATCATAATTTTGCAATTGATTTTACTGTATGCAAATTTGGCATATAAAACCATCTTAATTTAAAACAAAACAAGAAACTATCAATAATTTCACATTTACAAGTTTAATCAAGGGAAATGTCAAGATGACTTATGAAAGTATTTAATAATTGCCTTCCGAACCTCAATGTAAAGCAATAAATTCTTAGCTTCCAGATAATGGCTGACAAGTTTGAACTTCAATATAGCAACTTAGCAGCAAAATTTCACCCAGAAGAAATATGGAACATAGACCACATACCTCAGCCCAACTCCAGAGAATAACAGGTTTCTTAGCCAAAATAGCATCAATAACATCCTTAGTCACTTCCATTTGGTGATCAACAAGTACATGCGTGCACTCTTCACTCAATTGGTAAGTAATACGAGCACCTAGGATACAAATGAAAGTAACAAAAAAAAAAAAAAAAAAAATATTTGGTAAAGTTACATACGAGCACCTAGGATCAAATAAAGTAACAAAAAAAAAAAAAAAAAACAATATAGTAAGCGCACCAACTTCACAAGAGTACAAAAAAAAAAAAAAAAAAAAAACAATATAGTAAGCGCACCAAAACCTTCACAAGAGTACATGACACCCTGAAGACTACATGAGATAGTATTAAGTTCATTCCAGCTGCCTTCTGTTTTTTACTGGTCATTAAATGTACTCGGTTTTGGTTCAGAAATTTTGCCTTGCATTCACAAATGCTATCGACAAGAAATTTATAGTCATAACCTGGAAGACTAATCCAGAAATCTGCAGTCATAACCTGGAAGACTAATTGTGCATCAAACTCTAAGACAAGTAACAAGCACATTCCAGTTATTAGCAGCAGCCCCTTACTATTAGCTCAAGTATGCACCATTTTATGTTATAACAGTAAAGCAGTCCTCTCAAATCTACTTAAATACTGATCACATTTCACATTTCTCAACCACCCATCTCATTTATTCTTTTCTTTTTCAGTCATAATAATTTCCCAAATATATTTAATCCTGAAGACAACCTAGAAAACTATGCAGGGAATATTCAATAAAAAAATAAGGGTTGAAAAAGAACATAGCAAAATCAAAATGAAATTCCAAATATGTCAATAAAAAGCATTGGAAATATTTTAGCACACATATACAAGGAGGCGTCTGCTAAACAAGGTCTTTCTTACTTACCAATTGATGAAACTTTGTCTTGAAGAACTTGAAAGGACTCAGAACAAGAGACAAAAAAAATGAGGGGGACGAAAGAGAACCTGCATATTTTAGTTCCAAAGAAAAGCAACAATTATACTGGAGTGGAACATAGAAGTGCATTCCTCTATGACCATAACCAACATTTGAGATTGTTCAATACCATCTAACTAGAATGCCTCCAGAGCATAAATTTGTTAAGAAATAATGTTACAAGAAAACTTCACCCACTAAGAAACCAAATTTAAAGAAACATGCAAAAATCAAAATGCTAAACCCAGAAAAATATTTAAACTTACGCTCACCTGTAAGTTGCATTGCCAGTCCCAAAAGATACCAAGTCCCCATCTTTTAACATTGTTTCTTTATTTGGGAACTCTTGGACCTTTTCCTTTGATCCAGGATTCTTGTAAATAAACGTCCCATACTTCGAACAATCTCTAATTTGTACTTTGGAGGATTGTTCATGCTTGTTCTGCATGGGGTTCAGTGAAATCATTTGATCAACAACTATCTCTGCATGGATTCGAGAAACTCCTTTGTCTTTGGTAATAATCACATCACAACCTACAGAAATGAAATCATCATATCAATGCAATAAGAAATAATGAAACAGAATGTGAAGCCTTCAAAAGACATATTCCCCAGAATCCCCAGTTGGAACAGATAACACAAAACAAGTGCTTTCTATATAGCTTTAAATAACTACTCTTGGGCAGCTTGGCATGCAACTTAAAATTATCATTTCCGTTTTAGAAGGTAACCATCAAAGCATTGCATAAAAGCAAATTCAAATATGTTAATTAATTTCATAAACAGCCATAGTCATGAAAGCCTGAAATACAGTATTACAATGAAAATCAAGGTAAACACAGGCAACAAGCGTGCACATTTGTGGATTAAAAAAAACATAATAATTCACAATTAACAATGAGGTATTCATTTGCATGTAGATAAAAGACAGGATCATATTTTGAAAAACAAAAGTATAAAACAATAACTAATCCAAGATTATATATTATATGTGTGTGTGTGTGTGACCTTTATATTTTACAAGTTATTGGCGACATACACTCTTGCATTTTATTCATTAAGTCTCCAACAGTCCAATATAGAAGCACTCATGCATCATATCCTTGACGACCCAACATCTGAATATTTCAGTCACTAAATAAATACAATTATAAAACAGTCAGGATTAAATCCCCGCATATTATCAATGGAAAACACAATGCCACCGACAACTAAAAGCAAGAAAGATTACACATCCAAACTCTTAGGAGTACCTTTTCGACCGACTTTGTATGTTCCCTTAGTAAAGATATAGTATTTATCTTCACCTGTCACAACAATCACAACATAAAAACCAACAAACTCCTTACTAGAAGAAGAAGAAGAAGAAGAACACACACAATATGTGTATTTACTACTACTGATGATCTTGTAGGGTTGACAAAATTATTATCATATAGAGTAAAAAGAAACAGGAAAAAACTCCATCGAAGTCAAAAATGGAAGTTAATCAAATTCCCTTCCTAAATTAAAAGTCTATAATCTCACAGGAAATTAGGTATTAACAACCAGAACAGGTAACTGAAGACGCAGAGAGGAGGAGGAGGAGGAGGAGAAAAGTTACCTGAGAGAGGATCGGCGGGAGACAGAACCCAAACCATTGTCTAAACTAGCGGAAGATAAATAATATAGAGATGTCTTTAGGATTCAATACAAAATATATATGACGATTGTTCTTCGTACCACGTGTGGGTTTAAGAAAATTTTGTTGGGCTTTTATTATTATAACAATAAAATAATTAGGGGAGAGCAGATTGCGATATAATCGAAAATTCAAATTGAACTGAGTAATTTTGGTTGGTTTGGTTCGGCTGATAATAGATTAATTTTGATTTGGATCGATTAATTATAAATATTAATTTGATTTTTCAGTTATGGCACGGTTAGTTTGAAAAAAACCCTAGTTAATCCAAATTAGTCAAATTAGTGCTCAAAATATCTTTTTTTTATCTCAGATTTTTTGTTGTGACAGGTGACAACGATATGGTATAACTTTTAATATCACTAACAAAGAAAGACATGCTTAATTAATTGGTTACTAATTCTAATTTTCTAACTGAAACTTTGAAAATGAATGTTTCTTTTAATGCTAATCATATTAATTGTTATTTGGATAGTTTGATTTAGATATGACTACCTTTGTAATTTTTATTTGGACACTTGTAATTTGTTGGATTAATTAAGTAATTTTATTATTTATTTTTTGTTCTATACAATTGTCTTTAAATTTGTAAGCATATGTATATAGTCTGGAGACGAGAATACTGATATTGAAAAAAAATTTGGATTGGATATTTCCTCGTGATTGATTTTGATTAACCCGCTTAAAATACTAATCCGGTTGGGTTCAATTACTTTCAGTTTTATATTAAATATGGTTTGGATTGGAAAATTGATTTATGAAATTCAGCTATATTTGAATTGAGTTATTCGGTTTGGAGTAGTTCGGATTAACCAAATGCTCATCCCTAAAAATAACAATAATGTCGCTCTCCTTTGGAAACACTAGCAATATACCCGTGCTATGCACGGTTAAAAAAAATATAAAATTGAGAGAATATATATATAATTTATAGATTCTTGAATGAAATTTCTTTTATTATGCTATTAAAAAATATTATAAAAAATGCTCATCCCTAAAATACACAATAATGTCGCTTCTCCTTTGGAACAACTAGCAATATACCCTGCTATTGACTGGTTAAAAAAATATAAAATTGAGAAGACACTATATATATAATTTATACGATATCTTGAATTGAAATTTCTTTTATTTATGTATTTAAAAAATATTTAAGATATATCAAATGGGTAAAAGAAAATATTGGCGTATTTTTATTATTAAAGTCAAAATTTAGCTAGATAGACATGTGTTCTGAGAATATGTGATTAAAAAATATTTGAAGATTTATCAGAGCAGTAAATCAAAATGTTAATAAAGGTTGGTTAAACATTCATTACTCTTTTTGATTTTCATTTTAAAATTAATGTAAAATATTATAATCATGGGAATAAAATAATTTATTTTAAATATTAAAGTTATATAACTCTGCGACTTCTCATATTAAATAATGAATACTAAATTAATCAATTTATATTTAACATAACCTTTAATTTTAATACAAAATTTTATTTTTAATATAAAAATAATAATTTGCCATTAAAATTTATAAATTATGCAATTTATTTATATCATTAAAAGTTATATAAATTGTTAATTAACACACTATTAATTCTCTAACGTTATATTAATCAATTACACGATTTAAATCAATTATACAAAAACATGTTTAATAATCTTGTAGACCCATTGATGAACAAATAGGGTGGGTAGGCCCAACCACCACACTACACCTGTGGATGTTGTTTCTTTCCCTGGGAGGGATAATCTTGGAAGTGCAGTTGGTGGCATCCGAAAACAACCCACGTGATATTCACATGGATCTTGATGTTCCCACGGAGGCATTGTTATTCAAGAAACACATTATTGCTTTGAGCTCGAAAGTGTAAAAGTGGTAATCTTTAAAAAAGGAGACAAAAAAATTTGAATAAGAACTATTAACCCATTAGTGGAAATAGTTGAAATGAAAAAAATTCTGAACTATAAAAAAGATGAATAATATATTTAAAAGCAGGGACCAATACATATTTGCCAATAATACAGAATAATACACTAACATAACTTATGTATAGTATTTCTAAAAAAGTTAAAGCGTTTCTTGAAGGTATATAATTTAAAATTAAAAAAAAAATACATTACTACACCATTTTAAAAAAATAAATAAATGGAAAAGGAAATGTTAAAAGATACATTAACGGTTGCTAGAGGAAACCTTTGTTATGAACATTTATTACAAAGCAATACATTAATACATTTATTGAATAATTCATTGCTATTAAACTTTATCATTTTTTTAATAATTAATAATTAATAACAATTACTTAAAGCCATTAATAAATAACCAAATCAAATCAAACCAAAAACAGTAATTCAAAATAAATCCAAACCAAACCAAACCAATACATTAATACATTAAATAATCTAATCAAACTAAATTAAAAACATTAACTCAAAATAAATCCAAACTAAACAAATACATCAATACATTGAATAACCAAATCAAACCAAACCAAAAATATTAATTCAAAATAAATCCAATCCAAATCAAACCAAGCCACATCAGTACATTAAATAATCAAATCAAATCATGCCAAGTAGAAGCCTGATTAGCGGAATATGTCACATGTCAAATGGATATGTCACATGTCAACTTTCTAGAGAAAAAATGTTTGTTATATATATATATATATTGATTTGCTTTGCCAATATGTTCCTTAATCAATTTAAGATTGACAAAATAGGAATGATGTACTGTTGGAATTCAATTATGATTTGTAAATACTAGAGGGTGTGCCCATCGCCAGTTTCGGTTCATGAAACTGATGGCTCGAGATTTTAAAAAATGTTGAATTTAAATTGGCCTTTGAACCACCGGTTTCGATCATAATTTCCGATGATATTTGTATTATATTTTTTCAAAAAAATAAAAATTTGGTTCTAATGCGTGTTTCTTTCAAAAAAATGAATGTTAATTTAAAAAAATATTGGTGAATGCTATTTAACTAACTTTTAGAAAGCTCATACTCATGTAAAAAATAAAATTAATTAATTTTATAAAATATTTAAATAAACTATCATTTTATTTTGTCTAAATGTTATTAATAAAATAAATTATTAAGAAATTTAAAAAATGCTTCAAATAATGTAATTTTGAGCTAAAAAAAATATTAAACTCTCATTTATATCAAACAATATAATTTTATACTAAATATGTCACTTTTTTTACCATTTTACTTTTTTAGATTTTTAACTTTTAAGTAAAGTATAGTTTTAAAAAAAATTAAGTAAAGCGTATCATGAAGTAAAACGTAATTTAGACTTTTAGAATAAACTAAATGATTATAATTTTCAAAATAAAAATTAAAAAATTTTCAGTCCGAATTAGACCAGAACTGTCGATTCAGGTTAAGAATTTAACATTCACATAAATTTTAATCAAACCTTTAACTCACAGTTCGGTTCCGGTTCGGACTGAACCAGTGGGCATGACTATGTGTGCTTGGGTCGAGTTGGGATGAGAATTACATAATTCTCATTCTCGTCTCAAAATATCGACACATAAAAAAAAATAGAGTCTCAATCTTGTATCAATAGACATACAATCTCATCTCATCTCGTCCCAAAAATTAGAACGGAATGAAAACTCGAGTCTATAGATCATGACGGAATGGATCAGGTTGGGAATCAATCAAGATGCATAATCTTACTAAATTATTTTTCATCTGTAAAAGAAAAAATTAATATATTCATCGATTACAATCATTCAAAATTCATTTGTATAAGTTAATAAAAAAGAATAAATTAAATAATTAATTTTAATCATTGATGATTTACCATTAAAGTTATAATATAAGATGTTTAAGTAATTAATATCAATCAATTTATATATAGGCAATGATCTATGCTCAATCATGAGTCAACATAGTAATAAAAAAAAATTTTATGTGGCTAAAGGAGCTAGCTTTTAATTATTGGATTTTCTTTAAACAAGATTAGACCCTCTCTAGTACCAAATCAACTTTATCCTTGTTCCTCTTCAACTCCACGTTTTCTAGCCTCTCAGAACTGTGCCTGCACGCTCTACCTTTTTTCTCAGGTTCTTGGATTCTACAAAAACCTTTCCTCTTCTTCCTCTTCTCACAAGTTGATGCTATTGTCACAAAATGAATGTTCAATAAACAAATCCTAATGGTTATATATATATATATATATATCAAAAACAAATTTCCACTTTTGGTTGAGTAGTACTAACAAATTTTGAGTTTGAACATTTTATTTTTTTTTATTTTAACCACGAAGTGTCTATACTGTGTCCCCACATAATCATAACTCGGTTATTTCTCTCGTTCACTTTGAGAGACACGGGAGTTAATCCGTAGGGATTTTTGAGCTTGAACATTAATGAACATTTTATTTTTTTAATTTTAATCATGAAGTGTCTATACTGTGTTCCCGTTTAGCCGTAACATTGTTATTTCTCTTGTTCACTCTAAGAGGCACGGGGCATGAGAGCTAATTCGTAGGGATTTTTTAGCTTCAACATTAATGAGAGCAAATTTAACCAAAAAAATAATGTAATACTATTCAATCAAACTAATTGATACAAATGATGGAAAATATATGTATTGGAAAAAAATAGTGCAAACTAGCAATAAAAAAAAAAAAAACTATACGGACCTTGTGGTGCAACCAAATGAGAAGAAGTGGGCAAGGAGACGACAGAGTTGAGATTTTCAGTATATAACAATTGTTGGGATTCAAGAACAGAAATGAAAGTCTTGAGGTCAGTCTTTAGGTATTCAAAATGATTTGGATGATGTGTTTCAATTATTTCCAAGTCCTCCTTTGCTTGTATTGCCATTTCCGTTGATGACCAGGCCAGTCTCTCTCTCTCTCTCTCTATCCATCAACCAGAGCATATAGAGAGTCGAAGACATGGATGGTTGCCTTATTAATGCCCAGCAAGAAATTAAAAAAGATTGAAAGTTGTGCCTTTTTAAAGTGCTTTCACTGTTTTTGATTCTCAAATGTCGCACAAGTAAAACTATACTCTGACAATTTATGGGTACTTATAAATTTTAAAT